GGAGAAGGAAGATGTTCTGGTTTGGCATCACAATTCCATAGGATCTTACAGTCAAGTCTAGCTATTAGTGTGCCTTATGTTTGACAACAGATCCACCAGTGAATCTACCTTCATCTTTCACTCACTAGTGTGATAAGGATTGGAACTTCATGTCGAGTCTCAGCCTTCCCCCAAAGCTCAAGCATTTTGTTTGGAGAGTGTGTAATAATCTCTTAGCTACCAAATAGAACCTTCACTATAGGAGGTGTTCAATTTCAGATATGTATCAGGTCTGTTCTCAATCTTCAAAATCTATTTGTGGTGTTTGTTCAAGATTATTTTACCCAACTTCTAGCTTTTAGCTTAAAAAAAGCATATTCAAACTGTTTGGCGGACTTCAATCAACTTCAACTTAAACTTCTACAGCTTATGCAAAGGGTAAAAAAGCTGAATTTCATAAGCTGCTTTGAGCTGCTTCAAATTCTCACAAGGTTTATGCGGGGGGAGGGGGGGTAAAGATACTTAAATGCTGTTAGTGTTTTGAAGTATTTAGTTCAAGATTATTTTACCCAACTTCTATTTTAGCTTATAAAAAGCATATTCAAACTGTTTGGCGGACTTCAATCAACTTCAACTTCAACTTCTACAGCTTATGCAAAGGGTAAAAAAGCTGAATTTCATAAGCTGCTTTGAGCTGCTTCAAATTCTCACAAGGTTTATGCGGGGGGAGGGGGGGTAAAGATACTTAAATGCTGTTAGTGTTTTGAAGTATTTATTCTTATACCACCTATATATATATATTCTTTTTTTGCCTTAATCTTTCTCTTTGGGAAGAGATACAGCGGCAAGCAGCAACGCAACAGCATACCTGCGACTCTTGTTCGCTTCTGGCGCTGGTTTACTTCTTGCGACGTGTGGCTCTAGTTTGTTTTCGAATTTGGTTCACTTTCGGCGACGTGCGGCTCTGGTTTGTTTCCGGCTCTGGATCTCTTTCTCTCTTTTCGGTTGTGGTTCGTTTGCGGCTTTGGTTTGTTTCCTTCATCTTTGATTTTTCCTTTTCTCTCTTGCTCGGCATGCATGTATATATATATTTATTGTTTTGGTTATATGTGATTTTGTCTATTTCAAATTTGTTCAAATTGGGGAAAATAAGAATAGTTAGGGTTTAGGAAAAATTTGGGGAAATTGTATTCATGCTTTGATGTTAAAAATTTATGTAGAAGTTGACTGCCATTGCATTGATTTTTTGTTTATTAATGTATCTGAGACTCTCTACAAACCTAAATACGATCTCAATCTTTTGGTTTGTTATGTTATAGTGGCCAAGTGTTTTTTGAAATTCATGATTTACATGACATGGGCTGTAATGGTGCCATGTGCATTACAAGTTCAAATTATCCATGGTAAGCACTGTCATGATAGAAAATTCTAAGATGAATGATATTATATATATCCTGTTGATAAAAGCCTAATGTGATAGCAAACGAGAAAATCTTACAGATTATGCATTGACAAGTTAAAGAGAAAAAAAACAAGATTAAGTGGAACGTATATCCATTACTCAAATTCCCCAATTTTTTCTTAACTAATTTGTTTAGGCATCTTTATTGTGGAGTTGGGTATTGTGTTGGTTCCTATTTTGTAGTTTATGAATCATTTAGTTTCCATTTTTTTTCTTATTTATTTATTTATTTGGTGTGTTTTTGTGTTTTTGTTGTTAAAATTCATATTCAGAGCTCCAAAATTGAAAATTTTAGAGTTGCTCTGTTGTAATTAGTGTTTGGTTGCCCAAAAATTTTTGGAGATAAAAGAATGGATAAAGTATTTAGAAAATTAGTGTTTAATGTATCCAGAAAATTCTGTTGTGTTGATTAAATTTTGATTTATGCTGTGATTTCAAATTTAGCAACAAGGAAAATATTTTTGATAATTTGTTTGTAAGTACTGGATGATGTTACCTTACATGTTGTAATGTTTGTTGCTGTCTCACACACACCAATTTGTACATTGCTGGACATAACTCATTTGTTGTATAATATTGAACTAGTGTCTCATTCATGCTTTGAAGGTGCTTAACACACCAGTCTGTTGCTATCTCACACACACCAATCTGTTTTTTTTTTTTTTTTTTTTTCTGTTGATATGGTTTTTAATAATATGAGTAAGGGTTTGTTCAAATCATTGTTGCAATTCAAGTGTTTTTATTATTATGGTTTGTTTAATAAAAATTGAGTTCCCAACCACCATCACAATCTCCAATAACTACAAAGAGCATGGGAAAAGCTTCCCAAAACTCCCAACCCTCACAAGGTTTAGAGGCACATTAGGACACAAAATCCATTGAATTTTTTGTCAAACTTTGTGGAGCAAGTGAAAGTAGGTCACAATGGTACGCACTTAGATAAGGTTAGTTGGGAAGCTGTTATTAACAAGTTCCAAATTGCAACTAAAAAGTCATATGTTTGCATTCAGCTTAAAAATCGTTGGGATATCTTAAAAAATGATTGGGATCTTTGGAAAAATATATTGAGAGGTAAGACTGGGCTGGGGTAGATCCCTTGACTGGGGCTATCATGGTGCCTGATGATTGGTGGAATTTGAAGCTGCAGGTCAGTGAATTATGTTAAATTTTTTGTTCTTGCTCACTTGTACTTGAGCTTTATGATTTATATATTTGTAATTATTTGTCCATATTTTATTATAGAGGTATCCTAATGCGGCCAAATTTCGTGAGATGCCATTGACATTGGTCGATGACATGGACATATTATTCTCTAATGTTTCTTCAACTGGTGAGAGGGCATACACCCCAAGCTCTAGAGTGTTTCTTGACACTGAGGGATCTCGCCCCTCACTTGGTGATGATATTGATACAGAAATCCATTCGCCTGAATTGAGCAACCAATGTCGTCGCCAAAAAGAGGGTCCATCAAAGAAGAAAAATGGGAACAAAAAACAATCGGCTTCCGGTGAGTTGAGTAAGACACTTAACCGCATTGTCGATGCTGTGAATGCATCATCTTCAACTGGTACACAAAATGTTGCTATGCAAAATCTGCACACAATTATTGAGTGTTTGGCTAAGATTAGCACAATATTTGGCGTTAGTGAAGACAATGACCTATTATTTTGGGCTACAAGGTTGTTCATGAAACCCTCACTTCGTGGGTCTTTCATGGCTTTGCCTAATGATGTGTTGAGTTTGAAGTTTATTAATCTTGAAATTGCTTTGGAAAAGGCTCGTATTCCTGGTTTTCGTGATTAGTTCATTGTGCGAATGTTTTTTTTTTTTTTTTTTTTTTTAAAAAAAGACATTAGGACTATCTTCAATTAATTTGGCTTGATGTTGTATTTATGTTTGCCTCAGTGGCAGATTTAATTTGTGTTCTCAGTGGTGGAATAGGAAGTAGGATTGGAAAAAAAATTTAAAAAAATATTATTTTAAATGATGGACATTGCAATGACCCTTTTTATATAAACTCTCATGATGAACTTGCTTGCCATTCTGAATTGCTAAAAACCAAGAGGCATTCCAATCTTTGCAGGTATTCTGCTGATGTTTGTCTATTTTATTTTATTTTTTTTGTTTATATCCTTTAATTTTATGTGTTCAATTAATTTCTTATTGTTAAATTAATTTTTTTTATCTATATCCTCTAATTTTATATTTATTTTATGCGTTAAATTAATTTATTATTGAATAAATGTGGTACATGACCCCAATTTTTTACACAGTATAAAAAGATGGACAATTTCAATGATGATGGTGATTATGATAATGATGACAATGTCAGTGGATCTTCACAACAACCAAATCACCCGTATGGGAATCCCTACCTAATGGCAGCAACAGTGGTAGAAACAATTTGTGCAGAAAATTACCTAAAGAAACAACCATAGGACAGCTGCCCTCACAAGACATCAATGGATGTTAGAATTGCAACATGGTAATGCTACAAGAATATATGAAAATTTTAAAATGGACATGGATGTTTTTTTTATCAATTGTGCAATTTATTAGAGACTAACTATGAACTACAAAGTGGGAAAAAAAATTGGGGTTCAACAAGAAGTTACTATTTTTTTATATATTGTTGGTCAACATGCAAACAATAGAAATGCTTAAGAAAGATTTCAATTATCAGGTGAAACTATTTCAAAATACTTCCACTCTGTTTTAAAAGCGTGTGTGAAAATGTCCGTGGATTGGGTGAAGCCTTGGCAGAAAAATGGGGTCCATCCGTACATAAAGAATAGCCGAAAATATTACTCTTATTTTAAGGTAACTAGCAGTACTCTCTCTTTCTCTCTCTCTCTTTCTCTCTCTTAAAAAAATATTTTCTAATATTATTTGTATATAGAATTGCGTTGGGGCAACTGATGGAACGCATATCAAAGCTCATGTGAAGCAGAATACTTACCTCATTTCATAGGTAGGAAGGGATACGCTACAAAAAACATATTGGCAGCGTGACACTTTGATATGTGTTTCACCTTTTGCTTGCCTGGTTGGTTGGGAAATGCACATGACACGCGAATTTTTTGGGATACAATTAGGAATCCAAACAATAATTTTCCAGATCCAGAAGGAGGTATGTATGTAACACAAATTAAGATTTATTTGTTTATTCTATATTAGTTCTATTTGTAATGAGTTCATATTTTACTTTGTAGATGAGTATCATTTGGTTAATTTTGGCTATCCAAACACAAAGAGTTATCTTGCGCCGTGCAAAAGAGAGAGATATCATTTAGCTCAATTTGACCATCGGCCCCCTCAAACTGCACATGAAAGATTCAACAAAACACATTCATCACTCAAGAGCATAATAGAAAGATCATTTGGTGTTTGGAAAGCAAGATGGCCTTTTATGAAAGATATTTCATGCAATTACAATTTCGTTTGTCAAATGCAACTTGTTTGTGCTACTATGGCGATCCACAACTTCATTAGACGAACAGTAACACCCAAAAAATATACACAATAAAAATACACCAACTACCGCTTCTCACAGCAAACATAAGTAAATCTCCACACTTGCATAAATAATTGTAAGAGTTTTACAAAATAGTTCCACATGCAATTATAAATTCAACAACTTTAATACATGAATTTATAGCATGCAAAACATCTAGTCAAAATAAATAAATGCCCTTAAGGGCTACAAAGTCCAAGGCTTAAGTCTGGTTACACAAAATGGTTACTCGAACCCATATAGATATAGCCATTGGCTTGCAAAAATTTAGTCACAACAAAACAAGAGCCTTGTGCCCTCAGAATGCACTCCACGCCCTTAATTTGGTGGAATTACCACATCTTTTCCTGCACAAAATCACATAGGGTAAGCATAAAGCCCAGTAGGAAATTCTTAACAAAGTATATACATTTTATACAAATCTCATGAGATGAAATGTACAAGCCATGTTATGCTTTTAAAAGTAAGTTGCACCTTCATCCCTTTGAAAACCATCATGCACAATGAAATCTTGAAATTTCGACCATTCAACAAATTTTAAATCAAGTTCAAGAAGCGATAAATACGACTCAGGTAATCCACCGGTTGATATCTGCAAGTAGACATAAGTAGCACTACCAAAACTCCACTTTACCGGTAACTAACCGGAAGGCACGTGGTACCTCATCCGCGTGTGTTTTAAGTCTTTCACCCTGGACACTCAAGCCAACTTAATCAATTTCATCTACACCCCCTATCTGGACTTACCAACGTTTTTACCCCAAAAACAAATCAATAAGATCATGTTTCACAAATATTTCTTTTCTCAATGCAAAAATTTTCAAATCCCAATTGAAAATTTGTAATAACCAATTAAATTGAAATGCCAATGCAAAATATACCAATGGATTATAATATTCTTCCACACAATCTTTCCATTATGATCACAATTTCCATTTCTCTTTCCAATGCAATTTCACAAGATAAACATATATCCAATTATATCTATCGAAGAGTAGCAACATTTCCTCATTTCCATGCATTCTCAACAATTTAGCCACTTCATGACTATACACACATATTTGAACAACAAAACTCCCAAATCTACTAATTCTCATCTACCTTGGAAATTCTTATTTCAACATTTGTCATAATATTAATCAAATATCAATTTCATAACATCACCACATTTTTCTCAACAAAATTCCCAATTTTCTATGGTTTCCATAAACTAGTTTTTCTCCTCATTTTGAAAGGAATTATTTCAAGATAACACTTCTCTATAACAATATAGCTCAAAATCTCAAAGGTTTTTTAGAAATCATTGTGGAAACCCACTTGTAAAATCATTCACAACTCATGAGTCAAAAACCAAGTTCAACACAACAAGGAGGAGTCCCAACAACAACATAATTTGCAAAAATGTATATATAACTCAAAGAGATTTCCTACCTCAAGTTCTTGAAGGAAAAAGAGAAGAAGACCCCAAAATCAATGGCGTCAAAACTCGATCTCTACCGCCCACAACGTAGCCCTCAAAGAGTTCTCCAACTTTAATAAAGGAACTAGGGTCAAAATATTAATGGGTTTGGAGAAATCAAGGATTTTGTGAGGTTTGGTGTAGGAATAGAGAGAATGTGGAGAAATGTGTTTTTAGAGAGAAGGGGATGATGAAAAAGTGATATACACTCAGCCCAAGAAGGAAGAAAAAGGCAGATTTTCGGACTCAGTTTTATCCTGCATGTGCGGTACCCATTCCTGCACGTGTGGCACTCACTTCCACATGTGCGGTTCATCCTCCCGCACCTGGCCTCCGTTCATGCAATAAAGGTAGTCCTGCACCATCGACACCCCCTCCTCCCCGCACGTGTGGCCTCATATCCCGTACATGCGGTTCCCTCTCCGCACATGCGGTTCTACCTTCTAGCCAGAAATCTCAGTAGCTCGACCAATGACACCTCGGATCCAACCTCACACTATCCGAAACAAGCGAAACTCGACTTTGAAATAAAGTAAGGATGAAAATTTTGAAAAAGTTTTCAAAAATAATAAACCCAAGCAGTTGACAATGCCACAAGTTAGACCCGACACTCTAACAAGAGTAAACCCAACACAAATTAAAGAAGAACGAGACGGGTTACGTACCCAGTCATAACACGAACTAATTTAAGGGATATTGCAATTGACTCTTATGATAAACATATTGAGTATGTCCCTGTTGACGAGGAAGCAATGGTAGGAGAAGACCGACATGGGCATCCGGATCGTAATGATGATTATAAGATGGATTCAAGAAGATATGAAATTTTAATGTCAATTTCTCAAGGAAATAATTATTAAAATATAATAAATTTATTTTTGTGTAATATTTATTTCATTGTTATTATTATCTAAAAATAATATCATTATTTAATTTGGTGTTGGAATGATCTCTTAATATGCAATTAATAGCAAAAAGTCTAGCTAAATTCAATTTACAACTAACAAGGATAAAAAAGACATTTACAGAGTAAAAAGCTACTTCACAGCTTATTTAACAAGCACTATTCAACAACTTAAATCTATAAACCAATAGTTACACCAAATAAATTAACAACTTCTTATTAAAGTCATAATCTATAATCTGTTAAGCTATAATCTATAATATGTTTAACAGCTACACCAAATGGCCACATTGAACATGTATTTTTTGGCTGTTCTTGGACTAAGGCAGTATGGTTTGGGAGTGGATTGGGCATCCGCGTTGAGTTTCACTTTGTTCTCTCTTTCCAAAAATGGCTTGGTGATATCAGAACACAACTAGATGAGGCAGAGAGCTGCAAGCAATTGACTGTCATGTTGTTTGGTTATGTTGGAATATTTGGAAGCCTCAGAATGAATGCACTTTTAACCATGTGCTGGCTGATCCTGTCATTGCAAAAGAAAAATGAGATGAGGCTGAGTTTCTCGCAGCATGCGTATCTTTGCCTCTGCAATATGGTGTAAGTGATGGGGGTAGGCGTGGCACAGTGCCCATATGGAAACCTCCTGCTCGTGGATTTTTGAAGTTAAATTGTGATGCGGCTTTCATGGTTAGTTCCTTGGTCTGTCCTCAATGGAGGTTGAAGGTGATAACAAGAGAGTTATTCACTTGTGTGTGTTAAAAAGATGCCCCTCCTTGGGAGTTTTGCACTGTTATAGTTGATATTAGGTCCTTTGCTAGACAATGTACTCCGAGTTTTCTAGGTGCGCTAGGAGTGCCAATGAGGCAGCGCATTGGATAGCCCAAGCTTGCCTTGGTGGCTACGTTCCTTGTAATTGGCTCTCCAATCCCCCTGCTGCATTGCTAGCAGTTTTAGCTAATTAATACACTAGTTTCTTTCATTAAAAAAAAAAAAAAGAAAAAAAAAATCAATCAACATAATCCTTTTTTTAAAAAAATAATATAACATCGAAAGAAGAAGATTAACCACTTTCGACCACCATCCCTCTTGGTCAACAATCATTTCGCCACCACGTTCACCAACAACCTCCTCTCCTCTCAAGTACCTTAAAGCAGAAACCATAGGTTTTGTCTGCCAACAAATAGTAATAAGTATTTTTTTTTAATGAAAAAATACTGACATTCACATTTTAAATATTATATTTTTAAATAATATGTCAATTTTGATTTATTAAAAACTCAATTATATATGGCACATGTCTCTTGCCATCACATTGTAAGTCTAGTATTTTTTTAATACATATTTTGTAAAAATTATTAAAAAAAATTCAAAATTTAATTTTGATAAAAAAAAATTAAATAATGAGTTTTTAATTTCCTTAGTTTAAACCCAAATGTTTAATATAATTTTAATCTCGGCAGTGCTACGTCGCTCGAATTCACGCCCCCTCGAATCCCCCGAACCAAAAACGACGTCGTTTCGTCATTTTTGGATTTTTTTTTTTTTTTCGTTTAATCAGAGATGAAGCAGAGGCAGAAATGAAGAAAGAAGAAGGGAAGAAAGAAAGAAGAGAAGAAGAAGGGAAGAAGAAGAGAAGAAGAAGCAGAGGCAGACGACGGCGGCACGGCGGACGAGCTGGACGGAGGCGGGGCTGCGACGGAGGAGGAAGCAGCAGCGGCGGCCGGAGCTGCGACGACGGCGGGGCGGGGAGCTGCGACGCCGCCGACCTTCTTCCTCTCCCTCCCTTCTCTTTCTCCTCTCCCTCTCCTTCTCTCCCTCTCCCTCTCCCTCTTCCCCCTGTGTGTTTGAGCTCGAAAATGTCGAAAATGGAAGAAAAAAAAGAAAAAAAAGAAAAAAAGCCTAATGCCCAAAACGACGTCGTTTTGGGCATTAGGGGGATTAGGGGGGGGGGCAAATTTTCGAGCTCTGAAACATTATTCTTTTAATCTCAGCCAGTATAACAACCAAAAAAATCAATGGGTTCTAACCTAGTTAGGTTTTTCTTTGGCCACCAAATCTCTATTAAGGGAGAAGTCTTGAGCTCCACTCTTAGAAGTGGAATGAGAGGGTAAGATTTTCTTATATAAAGTGTATGAGTATTACTAACTTAACAACTAACCATTAACTTTCGCTGATAATGAGAGGGCAAGATTTTTTTATAAGGTGTATGAGTATGAGTTTTAACTCTTCCGAATTACTAACTTAACAACAAACTATTGACTTTCGTTGATTAAAAAAAAAAAAAAAATTATATTTTTAAATAATATGTCAATTTTGATTTATTAAAAACTCAATTATATATGGCACATGTCTCTTGCCATCACATTGTAAGTCTAGTATTTTATTAATACATATTTTGTAAAAATTATTAAAAAAAATTCAAAATTTAATTTTGATAAAAAAAATTAAATAATGAGTTTTTAATTTCCTTAGTTTAAACCCAAATGTTTAATATAATTTTAATCTCAGCCAGTATAACAACCAAAAAAATCAATGGGTTCTAACCTAGTTAGGTTGTTCTTTGGCCACCAAATCTCTATTAAGGGAGAAGTCTTGAGCTCCACTCTTAGAAGTGGAATGAGAGGGTAAGATTTTCTTATATAAAGTGTATGGGTATGAGTTTTAACTCTTCCCGAATTACTAACTTAACAACTAACCATTGACTTTCGCTGATAATGAGAGGGCAAGATTTTTTTATAAGGTGTATGAGTATGAGTTTTAACTCTTCCGAATTACTAACTTAACAACAAACTATTGACTTTCGCTGATTTAAAAAAAAAAACAAAAAAAAACAAAAAACAAAAAACAAAAAACAAAATTTAAGTAGCTTTGTTGTGACACTCACCATTTCACAACCTTTTTTCATAATAAAATCCATCGATCTATCTATCTATTTATTATATAAGTGAAAATAGATTTTTTTAGTGTGAGAGTTTCTAAAGCTTCCACATGCCCAACTTCAATTTCTTATTTTTTCAATTTAAGAAAAATAATAAATTATTCACACGTCTCACAAAATTTTTGAATTAAAAAAAATAAATAAATAAAAAATCTTCAAGCTTATCTCTTAAAATTATTGCCTAAAAGATGATAATTTCCTAAAATCAAATATAAAAATACAGTTTGTTGACCTAATTTATTTGTTTATCTTGTAAAATCTCTACCAAAAATCCTTCATACCTTAAAATAAACCAAACAAAAATCAATTCAAATTTGTTTAAATTGTTTTTATTTGATTGATTTTATTTCCTTATAATTAATTTGGAAAATTGATTTGGTTATTTCTTATAATTAAATTGTTTCCCTATAAATAAATTAAATAAACTGATTTGTCCATTTCCCATACTAAATTTGTGAATTTTTAAATTTAAAAAATAATCTAAAAAAAAAGAATCATGATTTATGAGCTAGAAAAAGAAAGATGAAGAAAATTCTTCTTGTACATTCTTTTTCTAACCAATTCTTTCTTCGACAAGACAACTCTTGCTACCCAAATCAGAAACCCCTCTTCCCCTGTTGCCCACAAACACCGACAGTAGTTTTCATACACAGAATCACAGCCACGGGGTTTCTTGGGGCCATCAAGAACTGTCCAGCTTGAATCCTCTTCCTTCGGATTAAACACCCCCAAGTTACAATCTTGACCCAAGTAGTAAAAGACCTCATTGTAAAAAACTGGATTAGTATGAGAAATGGTTGAAAATTTAGATTGCTATTAACCTTAGCCCAAGTCCAAGATTCCTCACCACGAGAAATGGATGAAAACCAACCTATATCATTAAAAAGGCCAAGTATGCCAAAAACGGTACAATCTGAGGATGTGGGCACGAAAGAGAACGACATAGTATCAAAATAGTAATATTCAGGTAAATCTGGAAGGTCAATTTTTGCATTGGTGAAGTGATTGAAGAAGAACAGAGAGTATTCACCTCTAGACATAAGCAACCAACCATTACTGGAGAAGCGAAGCACTGCACCGGATAACTCACAAGGAATAGCCATTTGGTATGTGTCCTCGTATAAGGGATTGTAAAAATTCATAGGCATTTTGTATCCACGGAAAAACAGGAGCCAATGAGATTGAGCAATTGGGCAATGGAAGGAACTGATTGCCATGTTATGCTGATCAATTAAATTCTCATCCATTATGATGACCTCCTGAAACCAAAGAAAGTAATAAAATAAAAATATTTTACATTATAAAGTGGTAACTTTCTAGTACCCTTTAATTCAATGCAGTATTTTAGATTTAGATTTCAAGAGTGAATTTGACAAGCTTTTCATATCCCTCATCCAAACTGAGCCCAAGAATTATTATTATTTTTTTAACATAGAAAAGAAAAAAGGTCAAAATCTACACATGAGTAAGGAGTTTCAGAACTAGTATAAAATTATCAATGATGAATAATGCTTGCACAACAAACAAAGTGCATACTTATAACAAATTGAATATCTAATCAAGAGTGGTAAATTGTAGATAATGGAAATCATGGTAACAAGAAGACAATCCAGCCTGAATGTAATCTGTAATGCACTTTGTCATTCAGATACTTCATATAATTACTGAATACCATATTATCTACTGACAAGCTTTTATTGCATATTTTCAAAATTGATGATCTAAGAGTACCAAACACAGAGATACAATTATCTGTAAATTTTCATACATTATGATTTGCTAAAATAACTTCTTTTTTTTAAAAAAAAAAGGTACAAAATTAAAATAAATTTTTGGTATCCGCAAAAAATATACTTATCAACCATAATAGGGAGATCATGGTCATGAGGAAGTCTCTAGTGTGAAGTTAAAATCATTCCCAAAATAAATGGAAAGAGAGCTAAGAGAATTTATTTGAGGGTAGAAAAAGAAGCCACAACCAGAATTTTTAGTTATGTTAACACAAGAACATGCAAAACATTGACCTTTTCTCAATCAGTCTAGCTAGGCATAAATTTAACATGAATGAATGCATTCTACAATTAGGACTTATAATTTGGGCTCTTAAAATTTGTTAGATTACAAACAATTTAAGCGTTAACATGACACTGCAAGAGACAGCGGGTTGGATTTGATTCTTATTATTTGTCCATCGCAACAACAAATCTTTTGATACTTTTGAGTTATTAAACTTGTTGGGTATACAATGTCACTCTATACGACCGCTTCTATTAAAATAATCAGTGGCGGCTACTATGTCAAATGCCACAAAAGACATAAGTGGAACCGCTCCCTAACACTAATTAGCTTTAGGTGATTCACGAGAGCATCTCCTACTCTAAAAATAGGCCTATGGGTGGGCGCAATATCAAATGTCATAAAAGACGTAAGTGAACTCCTTCGTAATACCAATTAATTTTATGTTAGATATGTTCAGTTTCCTCTGCTTTCTTCATGGTGGCATTAGTTCTTGTTGTTTATGAACTATAGCAACCTACGCTAGCTTCGCCATTTTAGCAACAAAAGGAATCGCGCTTTGATCTTTTGATTTGTCACTCCTAAAGCGACACGATCTCATGCTCCCTGTGCCTCTTTTTTGTTGTTTTCCTCAAGCCCAAATGCTATGTCTTTGGGTCGTTTGCTCGGCTAAAGTTAGTGGATGCCTTGTTTAGCCAATAACGATGGATAACTCGGGCAACATAACTTTGTATATGCTGTCATTCATTCACATATCACAGCTAGGTAAATCACACTACCATTGAAAATACTAATAGGGAACAATATATATATTGAAATTTTAGTGACTAGTTAGTAAAACAAATATGGATGATCGAGAAAACATTAAGAATTTATCAAAACGTAGAGATGAAGGTTATAGAACTACACCAGTTTAAGTCTTTTAGAAGTAATGTATAGTTTGTGATCTTCAATGGCAAGTGATAAATACTATACAAGAGTATTGTCACAATACTTTTCCGAGCTAAATGAATACTATCATCAAGATATATCTTAAATTAAATGCAATACGCACAAATACTTAAATTTCTTTAGCAATTTTGGAAAAAAAAAATTTATTCAAATTTCTTTATGTAAATTAATATTATCAATTTTTTTTCATTAACTTACTAAAAAAAAGTTTTTTGGGATGATAATAGTAATTTTTAACATATCTATTGTATACATAGTATTAAGTATATTGTGTTATTAATTTATTCAATGCAGACAAATATGTATTGATGCATGTATATATTTATTTTAAACAACTTTGTTTCATGATATATATATTTTTTAATAATTATATATATATATATATATATGTTTCTACCAGAACAACAATTGACAGAGAAATGGAGGAGGTAACAACAATTCACAGAGAAATAGATGATGTTAGATATTAGTATTAGAAAATTTTCTATTATACTTCCTATGAAGTATGATTATATAATAAAAAATCACATAAATTCACAATCAACTCTGAAAATAAATTAGACGTTAGGGCACATGAATTAGGGCAATTATTCTTCCATTTAAATCTGATAGTGAGAGAGAGGACTCACCGGACGTGGTTCTTTGTTGCTTGTTATCGTCGCTGATTGGCTGCTCACTGCACACACCGATGATGCTCTGACTTTAGGCCATTAAAACCAGAACCTGAACCTGAACCTGAACCTGAACTTGAACCTGAAATAAAATTTTAACAAAAGTAATCTTTGGAATCCTACCTTTTAGAGAGATAAATTGTAAAGGGGGAAAGATTAAACCCTAAAACCTAATTTATATATATACATATATGTATAATTTAAAAACGAATCTGAGATTTTCGAACTCTCGAACCTAAGATTTTCCTCATTGTTCGCCAATCACCGGTTGTCGTTCGCTGATCGCCAATTGCCAGTCGTTCGCCGTATTTGACCTTTGGTTTTTGTTTCGTTCTGGGTTCATTAATTTACACAAGTAAACCAAGCAAACACAAATAGAAAATAAAATAGTTTATTAAAAAATCATTTGATATATTATTAAAATTATATATATATATATATGTTTTTTATGTTCACTAATCTTATCAAACCGAATTTTGTTTATTTGAGCTCAGCTCAATTAACAAAAGGCCATAAAAATAAGTTCAAACTAACCAAGTTTAAATTATTTTTCAACAATTCGATTCATTTGTAACTTTATTTTCAGACTTGTTGAATTTTTCATTTTATTTATCAAATTCAAACCTAAACTATTAAAATCCACCCAAACCTGCCTATTATGGTTGGGTTGGTCCAGAACTCTTTCAGCATGTTTGTTTGGTGTGATTGAAGGGTGGGATTTGACTAATAGTCCATTCGAATTAATAGTCCGTTGTTTGTTTTAAATTTTTTGCATCTGATTATTCATCCCAAATCTGTGGGACTATTGTATCCCATGGAGGGAATGAGACACAAATCATGAAAGAACTCATCCTATGGAATTAGGTTGCCAAATTACATTGTTGACTTTCTAGTATTAAATATCTTTTTCCTCATGGTATTAATTACACTTAATAAAGTAGTCTCAATTTAAAAATAAAATAATTTTATTTAATTTTTATTGCTGTTTTATTTATTTAATTATTTAAAATAATTTTTTATATGTTTTATTTTAAAATTGTGTTGATATTTTATTTAATTTCATTATTTAAATTTTAATAGATGTTTTATTTAATTCCATTATTTAATTATTATTATTTTTTAAAATAAATTTATTTATAATTTTAATTAAAAAATAGCATATATTTTTGTTGATATTTTATTTATTTAATTTTTTTAAAAAAAGTATTTAATTGTGTAAAAAATAAAATAAAATAAATTTTTATTTAATCTAACTAAAAATAATTAATATGTTTAATATTACTATTATTTAGTAAATAATTGAAAAGGGTAAAATAGTCATTTGGAAATTTATCCTTCTCCATCATATCCCAAACAAATATAGAATCCATACCTTATCTAACCAAATAATCATTTTCTGTCATCTAATCTTATGACTAAACAGACACGGGATACATATCCTATATAACTAAATAGTCGTAGGACCATGAATCCCACAATTACAATTTGATGTATTCCAATTCCCTCTTATCCAGTTCGTCTAAACAAACATTTTTGGGTTGGGGACTCTAGGACACTTGAAAAACAGAAAAAAAGAAAACTAGATTGTGTAGGAACAAAATTGATTATTTAATTGCTATCAATCTGGACCATTTTCATTACATTGAGGCTTCGTTTGTTTTTCTATTTTCATGTAAAATGATTTTGTACAATTTTTTATTTTTATTTTTCAGTATTCGGTTAACATTTAAAAATATTTTCTATGACAAAGAACTAAGTAAAGAATCAATTATGGAGTAAATTTTGAAAAGAAAAAAATAAAAGAAAATCATATTCATACAAAATTTTCATGTAGAATTGAACACAAATGATGTGGTAATATCACTCTTATAACTATGAACTATAGCAATGCAAATTTTAAATTTCAATGAGTAGATATAATGTAACAAATCAATATATATAGATTTTTTGCATACAAATTTTCATTTGTATATCATTAATATTAAAAGAAGGGTTTTTTAGTTTAAGATCCCTAGTAATATTTTTTTAGAAAGATAATAACAACACAATTTCCCATATTAATTTAGGTCCTCCAAAACACATGATGACAAAATTTTATAATTTTTTTAACTCATTTCAAAATTTCAAAATACTATAACTTTTGATCTACATATCTTTTATATATATATATATATATAATTTGTATTTCTGAAATCGTTTCATCAAGATCTATAAAATAATATCCATAATAAATATAAAATTATTTTTAAAAAAAAAGAAGATGAAATTTCGTTGACCTAAGATAGGTTAGTAAAATTTTAGTTAGTCAGTGAAATTTTGATGGCCAAGTTAGTAAAATTTCATTGACCGAAGTCAGTGAAATTTCGATGACCAAGTCACTGAGTTAGTAAAATTTCATGAATTTTTTTCTTTAGAATCTCATATTACTTATGGATCTTATTTGAAAGATCTTGTCAATAGGATTCTAAAAATATAAATTTTACAAAAAATGGAGATGTAAATAAAAAATTATTAAATTTTAAAATTTTGAAATCATTTAAATAATGTAGGGTAAATTACATTGACACCCCCTGAGGTTTATGTTTATTACAGTTCCCCCCTCACCTTTTGAAAATTAGATCCCCCTCATTGAAGTTTAAAGTTTCATAACAGTTCCTCCCTCATCGTAATGATCATCATACAAAAAAGTATATTAACAAAGGGGTCAGTGTAATTTTCCAAATGTGAGGGGGGGAACTATAATAAATATAAACCTCAGGGGGTGTCAGTGTAATTTACCCAATAATGTAAAAGGTGGGATAAAAGACATAATATTAGACATAATCATATATATATATATATATACATAAGTAGCGTTTTTTTCTTATCTTTTGTGGCACATTCTAAAAGTTTACTGTTTTTTAAAAAAAGTCACATCAACATGCATTTTCCATTTACATATGAAATTCTACACAAACTCAATTTTAATTATAATAACCAATTTTACATGGATTCTATTTAAGAAATACTTATTTTTCATATATAAAATTATAATTTAGTTGTTATGATATTTGCCAAAAAAAAAAATCAATCTTGACATGTAGCGAGTTGAATCAAATTGAAGTTTGCCCTTATTATTATTGGCGTGGTATCGTGGGCAATTCTATTTAAATTGGTGAAAAAAAATTATCTTACTTGTTGATTTCGACTTCGTAAGGCCTATTTGGCAATTTTTTTTTAGTTTTAATTATTCTTGAGTCTTGACAATTAAATGAGATATGTTTAATTTTTGGGACTTATTTGATTATATAGCGATTCCGGTTTTACCTTTCTGTATTTATTGTTTTCCGGACTTGGGTTCCGTGATGTTGGTGGTTATATACCTTGTTGTCATCATTTAATTTCGCTTGATTGAGTTTTAGGATGTTTTGGGCAGAGTTGTTATAGGTTGGTTAGGCTTTGCTTTCAATTCTTTGTTGCCCAGTTTTTAGGAGGTCCACTCGAGCGAGTCTTCTTGCGCTCGAGCGGAGATTGCACACTCCCAGTATTTTGGTGCTCTGCAGAACTTCTGCAAGCATGTTTTTCACGCTCGAGCGGGTTTCTTTACGCTCGTGCGTTCACGCTCGAGTGGGTACTCTGGCGCTCGAGCGGGTGGTACTTTTTGGGTATAAGTTCTGGGAGGGGGAAATCTACGCTCGAGCGGACTGGTTTTTGCGCTCGAGCGGGCCTAGTTGGTTTACTTGCGCTCGAGCATTGTGTTTTCTGCTCGAGCGGGAATGTTGTATAACAGAGGGCAGCTGGGCATTTTTGAATCATTTTTCTACACTTCCTCTCTCTCTCTTACTTTTCCAAACCGCCATTTGAGAGCTTCTCCCTCTAGAAACTCCCTTCTCTCTAGGGTTTGATCTAGTTAGAGTGCTTCCCTCCCCTTTGGCCTTTGTAAAAGTTGGGTTGATCGTCGAGGCTACATTTTGATCCGAGAAACTTGTGGTTTGGAGCATTTTGGTTTTCTTCATCCTCTTCTCTTAGGCTCCAAATTTGAGGTAGGGATTCCTACCCACTACTATGGGTTTTGACCTAGATTTTTGGGCATTTTGTTAAATGGTTGATTTTGGGACTTAGGGTTTCAAAAAGTATAAATGGGGTTTTTGTCATTTTGATTCTTAAATATGTATTTTAGGTTTCAAAATGGTGTTATTGATGTTGGTTGTTGATATATAGACCATTGGGTCAATATTGGGAAATGGGGTAGAAAACCCTAATTGGTTGTATAAATTAATTAGTATGATTAATTTAGAAAAATTGTGGTTATATGAAATTGAGTTGAAAATAATGAAATTGGCTCATTATATAGTAGAATAATGGAGTTGGATTTATTAATCGCTCACTTTTGAAAACATTGATAGTTTATCTGTTGGAGCTTTTATTATCTGTTTAGAAATAATTGCTTGGGCTACCGGATGAGGATAGTTTTGATTGTTGTAGACAATGCATGATGATTAGGCAAACAAAAACTAATCAATTGGATATGTCATAGAGTATGACTGCTGATAGAATACATTAACGTTATGTATTGATTGATTGTGTATATGACCTATGTGTATATACGTTGTGTGTGTATGGGAGGAGATAGGGGATGTACTCCACGGTTTAGGGGAAGATAGGGGATGGACCTCTAAACCGGATGTTGTTTGGGAGGAGATAGGGGATGGACTCCACTGATACAGCTCATATGCTTGTCAGTTAATGTGTTGATATAGCTCATATGCTTATCTATGGAAGTGTTGATACAGCTCATATGCTTATCTTTGGAAGTGTCGATAAAGCTAATATGCATATTTGTTGAAATGTGGATGCAACTTGTATGCTTATCTGTTGAGATATTGATACAACTAGTATGTTTATCTATTGTAAAATGGGAAACGTTTCATATGAGTCACTGTCTCATATAAATGGTTGGCCAGGTTCTGAACCGTTGATGTAAATTGTGAAATTGATAAGAAATGGAAACTGAAATGAAACATGAACATTGTAGTCGTGAAATGGAAATGAGTTATGAATTGGTTTATGGAAATTGAACATTTATCAATTGTTAATATCTTAGTTATTGCGCATACTGTGTTTAGCATATTTCTACTGGGCGTTGGCTCACCCTATATGGGACATTATTTTCAGGTACAGGTAGTATGCCACCTCCAAGGACATAGCTTGGACGATGATGAGAGTTGAAGACTCTTTTGTTCATTTTGTTTGTATTACATGTATATCGAGCCAATGGCTTATTTTGTATAGAGTTAGTACTCTTCTTTTGTGTAACCAGGTGTTGACTTGGAAAGCTATAAGCCCATAGGGCATTTGCTTTTGTTGTTAACATGTAATACAGTTGTAAGA